TCCAAAGAACAAATTGTTAGGAAAATGTATAACTATATGTTGGAATTTAAAATGCAGAATGAAATGGTTAAGGAATGTATGATAAAGTGGGCACAAAACATAGGGCATAATATTGATATTGATCAATGGCTGAAAATATGGCAAAGTAACATAAAATTTACAAAATCGGTTAACCTTAAAGAGAATATATAAAAAATGTTTTATAGGTGGCACATGACCCCAGAAAAACTGTCAAAGATGTATACAGATGTATCAAATAAGTGTTGGAAATGTGAAACACAAGTGGGAAGTTATTATCATATGTGGTGGTCATGTGGAGTACCGAAAAAATACTGGAAAAGAGTATATACTATGTTACAACAAATAATGCTCTGTAATGTGCCATTAACTCCAGAATTGTTTCTATTGAGTATGATACCTGATAACATAGATAAGTCAAAGCAACATATAGTTATGTACATTGTTACGGCAGCTAGAATTCTATATGCTAAAAATTGGAAAAGTCCGACGATACCGAAACAAGAAGACCTTATTGAAAAAATACGGGAAATAGCACAAATGGACATTTTATCAGAAGTAATGAAGGACTGTCCTTTACAAAAGGCAACAGAAAGATGGGACCTATTCAACAAATGGACCAAATTAACAGGCATCGTGTAAATAGCATATACTCTCCTCTTCCCCATAAATTCCTAAGTCCCCTTTTCCTTTTTGTCACCCCTTATGTTAAAAAATATTTTTTTTTAAAAAAAGATTATCATATTATTATAATTAGGTGGACCAAAAAGAAGGCGATGCAGAAGAGCCGTCCGCAGGAAATGAAGAGTGAATGAACAATCCGGTCACCCGTCACCTTGTCAAGGGTTCTTAAGTCTGTTTGGGAAGTCCCCATAAAGTGGAGCAGCCCGCTCCACTGGTTTCCCCTTTTCCCATTCCTGCACTGCCCCTGCCCCAAGGAATTATGGGAAATTAAAATGGCAGGTCCATTCAAATCCCTGGCACTCATCACTGTCGCTGAGCCGTTCATTAGAGGGTCAAACTGGGAGATCCGGCTTCCAACTCCAACCGGGTTCGCTTCAAAACGACTTCGGGGCAGCCACAAACTCTCCACCCATCCAAACCCGCAGGGTCATAGGGGAGACACTGAGGGAAGCGGCTGACGTTCATCCCGTTGGGTCCCGTAAGAGAAATTCGGACAGAAATGTTAACATTCTCGTACGAAAGGAACACGTTTGCAAAAGGTTTCCTGAAAAGCCAGGAGGCCACCCCGCGAGCCGAGTCAGGTCACGCTACGGACCTAGAGAGAGCGTCGTTTGCTCGCTGGCCCGTTTGAGGAGGACCGTTCGCTGAACCTCCTGCCTGATCCCGGAGGCTCGGCAAGAGACAAGGCATCCCGGCGTGGACTCACCCGGGCGTCGGTGACCTTGAATTCGCGCAGGATGTACTGAGGCATGTTGTATTCCGCCATGGGATCCACAACGAAATACTGGTACCGGGCGGATCGTTCCGCTGGCCAATACTGGTGGCACTTTTCCTGGCGGTCAAAGGGAGAAGAAGCCATGTTGAACACAAACCCTTGAGCTTTCTGATTTTTTTCCAAAGTTGCTTTTTTAAATTAAAAGGAAAACAAATTCAATGGGGTTTCCTCCCCTCGACGGACAGTTTGGAAGTATGTCCAAAGACGGACAGACAGCTGGGTGGAAAACACCCTTGATGCACTCATTAACTCATTTTAACGGGCAGGAGAGCCAACTCCATGGTGCCGGGGGAGTGCGCATGTGGGACACTTAACCGATGCGCCACGAATACCGCTGGCTGGTTGAGCATTTAAACTTTTAATCTTATTCCTTCTCCCACTCCTCCTTCCACCTATTTTATTAATGCTTTTCCCTCTTTAATTGTAGCCCATTAACTAGTCAACGTTTGCATGCCTGCCCACATGCAAGGCGCAAGAGGTGGCACCCGACCAGCGATGCAAGCGGTGCAGGTTCCCCATCTGCTGCTTATGGTATTTCCCCCCACACTTTGTTGGGTGTAACCATGCCGAAAGGACTTGCTGTGGGTGTGTGTATGTGTGTTTGTGCGCGCGCGTGCGACCATGGGGTCAGGCAGCGTCTGCTCGTCCTGCAACGCTTACCCGGCCCATCTCACGCAGCTTGGTCAACATCACCACGATGGTCGAATTGTTCTCCCAGAGCATCCGCCAAAAATCTTCTGTGGTCTCCGCCAGTGGTCCCTGGGTGGCGATGTAGGCCTTTTGCTGCCTGACCAAAGAAGAGCAGAAATGGCTTTTTAAACCCAAAAACGAGCCCGATTCGTGAGGGAAAAGAGTGCCGTCTCACCCACGGCTCAGGGATTGTGTAGGACAAGATCAAGTGGGGAAAAACTGCCCGGGTGGGGGGGCCAAGCCCATCCTGGCCAGCCTTCAGCAACAAAGCTCCTGTGAAAATCAGCAAAAATGCCCCCCCCCCCGCCTCGTTTGCTATGGGTCACTCACGCCGCTGGTGAGATACAGCCTGCGCTTACTTCAAAAGCGCCCTCACAGAGATCCCTCTGGACTGGCTTCCTTTTGGCGTCTCCTTCCACCCTTTTATGGTCTTTTCCTTTTAAAATGATTGTAAAAACAAAAGCCAAACCCCAGGTGGGGCGATTTTAAAGCGTGGCTTTGAAGGCCAGCGCCTTTCAATCGGATGCCGTTCAAGAGTTTTGCCGGTCCCTTCGGAATATGAAGAAGGTGGACTGGAGGGCTCTTGCTTTCTTCTTCCCTCCTGCTCCTCTTTTTCATGTCCAGGCAACCACTTCCTGCCCCAGTGCAAGCTGGGAGCTTTCTTTCTGAACAGGAAGTTAGGCCGAGCTAGGCCCTAAAAAAAACCCTTCTGGCTTAGGTCTTTCTCCTAGGCGAGTCACATTTTGGTGTCTCTCTCATTATAGGGAACTGGAGAATTATGGGATTTGTTGTCAAAACAAATCCAAAAAAGATCTCAGTCCGACCAGCAGATGTAACTAACAGGATTCTGGCTGGTAATTTAAAAATATCCACAACTACGTTTTCATCACTGATGGGGAAAATGCACAGAAAACAGAACATTTTTCTTTAAAAATGTGTTACAATCAGCCAAGTGCACACCAAAACAGGCCCAGATTTCTCAAGTGATCTCCCGCAGGAGACCCGGTACCAAACCAAGACAGGAGGAAAACAAGAGAGGATTCTGAGAAAAGTGACAGAATTAAGACACAGAGAGATGGTTACACGCTTAGTTGCCACAGGCACCCAAATGGAGCTACGCATTGTGGTGGGAGACCTCCTTGGTGGGAGCCCCCGGCCATACCTGTATCCGTCAATAAAGCTGGCGTTGATGTAGTCTGAACCCTCTACGCCTCGGATGGGCTGAAGGCACACGCGCGTGCTCTCGTACGGCATGATGTTGACGAGGCGGTTCTTGAACTTGTTGCAGGGGAGGTTGGCACTGATGAACCGGGAGGTGTGGGCTTTGGAGTTGGCAAGCCTCTGGAGAAGAGGGGCAAGAAGGTTAGGGTCAGGGGTTACGGAGGTACTTCTTCCATGATTGCTCTCAAAGCAATGACAAAGGTCTGAAGGGCAGCCCTGGATCAGGCCCACTTGGTTCACCCAACCTGAGGTCTTCAGGCGTTGGCAAGCCTCTGGAGAAGAGGGGCAAGAGGGTTAGGATCAGGGTTACGGAGGTACTTCTCGGACACCAACTCCCAGAAGCTTTCATTAGGGTTCCGGGGAGTTGTAGTCCAAAAATCTCTGGGGAAACCCAAGGTTGAGAACTGCTGGTCTACTCATGAGGGGTGATGGTTCCCCGTGACTTGCAACCTGAGCCTTTCCATTCATTCCTCGTGATGCCAGAGCTTCTTCAACATCTTCTTCTAGCCTGCAACCCTTCTAGAGTTCGGCCAGCTAGTTTCTTATGGCGAAGGACCAAGCACAGAAGGGAAATCGCAGAAGCACCCGTGGCCCTTTTCTAAGGTGATGGGACACAGCTCTGATCCAGCCAGCTCTGCCTGCCTCAGTGGCTTCCCCTCCACACACTGTCATGGGCAATGAGACACTGGCGATAAGGTTCTAGTCCACATGATTCTCTTCCTGGAGATCCTAGAATTTCAACCAGAAATTCGATCCACTAGAGCAAGGGTTCCTAACCTGCGGTCCTCAGATGTTCTCGGACCGCGACCCCCAGAAATCCTAGGAGTTGAAGGTTTCTGGGATTTGAAGTCCAAGAACATCTGGGAATTCAAGGTTGGGAACCAGTGAACTGCAGTGTCTCCTGTAGAGATTTAAGTCGGCTGGATTGGAAGTCCTGGTGATTTGCTGGCCAGCTGGACTCCTCCCATCCTGGCCTACCTGACAGGACCACTGAGAGTATAAATCAGGGAGAAACCCCTGGATAGCTCAGGGGTTGAGGGTCTCTGGCTGCAGAGCCACAGGTGGGGAGTTCAAATCCCCCAGGGTGCCTTCCGGACAGGGGCTGGACTGGATGATCTCAAGGGTCCCTTCCGGCTCTGCCGTTCTAAGGACAAGGACCTCCAGAGGGTCTCGGGCGGCCCACCTTGAATTCCAGCTCCATGCCCGTGACGTGTTCGCCCACTTCGATCTGTGCCAACTTCTGGATGTAGGTGTACAGATTCCGGGCGGGCACTTCCGTGTTGCCGCAGGCGACGGCCTCCAGCAAGGAGTCGTGGATGAAGCTGTACTGGTCTTCCGTCTGCACCATGTAGTTCCTCTGTGACCGCATGAGGGTGACATGGCCGTAAATGTCCACCGTCTTCTCGTGCTTTATCCTCTCCAGCATGGCATCGATCACGATGAAGCAGCCGGTCCGGCCGACCCCCGCGCTGCAAAAGAGAGAGAGAGAGTGAGAGAGAAAGATCGAGGTTATAAGAACAACAACTACAACTACCAAGAACTACAAGAAGAAAGAGAGGAAGAAGAAGAGGAGGAAGAGGAAGAAGAGGAGGAAAAGGAAGAAGAAGAGGAGAAGGAGGAGGAAGAAATCAGATTTTTGAGGTGTTCCAGCCATAGATCTGACGCATTGCAGGACACTTCCATTGACAACATATAATTTTATTTATTTAAAATATTTTTACCCCACGTTTCTCCTTAAAAAAAAGACCCAAGGCAGCCTACATCAATTAAAAGACAACACTGAAAGGTTTGAAAAGTATACAAATATGAAAAACACCAAAAAAAAACAAAACAGATGCCACCCTGAAACATGGTCAACAAAATCAAGTCCAAAAACGCATTCAAAGCAGAAAGGCACAACCATCCCTCTAAAAAACCCAACCCGTGAGGCCAGTCCTTATAGGGAAGGGTTGGCCAAAGAGGTAGGTCTTTGTCTGCTTGAGGAAGGACAGCCAAGAGGGGGCCAGGATGGTCTCCAGTGGCAGGGAGTTCCAGAGTCTGAAGGAACTGCAATTGAGAAGGCCCTTTTTGATGTCTGCATCTCCTATACCGGTAAAGGTGGCGGGACTGAGAGAAAGCCCTCCCCTGATGATCTCAACCCCTTAGCTGGCTCATAAAGGGGGATACGCGGCCCTTGAGACAGCTGGGACCCAGGGCTTTATAGGTCAGAACCCGCACTCTGAGTTGTGCCCAAAAACGGATCGGCAGCCCATGGAGTTGCTGCCACGGGGGAGTTGTGAGATCCCTGTGATCAGCCCCAGTTAACAACCTGGTTAATAACCACAGTAGACGCACTGGCTCTCTGTGGGTTAACCTTCTGGACAAAGCCGCATTGGCTGAGCCAAGGTGGACTGAAAAGGTAGGCACAGGGTGTTTTAAAAGTCCCTTTCATGTTTGGGTTCGATGGCCAAGAGGGGAGGCCTGAAGGTAGGGAGAAATCCTCCCGCACTGCTGTGCGAAGGCATCAGGGTGATACCTCACCGTCTGCGCGCCGTGTGGATGGTGGTGAAAGGAAAGGGAGGCCTGAAGGTAGGGAGAAATCCTCCCCGCACTGCTCTGCGAAGGCATCAGGGTGACACCTCACCGTCTGCGCGCCGCGTGGATGGTGGTGAAAGGAAAAGAAGACAGAGCGTGTGATGAATTCTGCCAAATTCCCCCCTCGATGTAAAAGGGGAGCCTGCCCCTCCAGCTCCAACAGCGTGGGGCAGCTTTTGTTCCTTTTCTCGCCGAGATCTGCCCTTTGATCTTGGTTAATTAGACTCTGCAACCCCTGATGCCGGCAGGAGTGCATGCGTGTCACGGCGGGGTGGGTGAAGGAGAAGAGAGCCAGGCCGAGACACACCCGAAGCCCACTTGCCGTTAAAAACAATAACACCACACTGCAGCTATAGTTGCCATTTGCAAGGTGACCGAATGACCGCTGAATTTCCGGCGGAAGGTAAGCTTTCAAACGGCCTTCTGTTTTAAAAAAAACAACATGAAAATGGAGACTCTGCTGCACCATCGTGGCTTTTTCTTTCCCTTTTTAAGTCCGGCGCGAGCCGTACTTCCCTCCGTTGGTCTCTTGGGGAACGAAAAGGATTGGACATGAACGGCTTGCCGGGTGGAAAATCGAATTCCAGCACGACGCCTGCTCTATAGAGAGGTGGAGGCCGGCGTCAGCGGCTCGACTCCATCACCGGTTGTGCTGGTTTCCCAATCAACTTTTGGAGAGCGGAGCCATCTGTGGTCCCAACGCTGTGACCGCTCGCTCGTGCTCCCGCGTTGACACGAACTGATCTCTGCTCCCGTCTGTAATCTTCTACTGAAGATAGCGTGGATTTCGGGTGCATCGCCAAGCCATGGAGCCGTTTTTAGTGAACGATGGGGTTTTATAACCATGGATGTGAAAAATGTTCCCTGTTCAAGGTTTAAGAAACCCGGTTCCCGCTTTCCGTCAATCTTCCACGCTCTCAGACGATCCTCTGCTTGTGGAGCCATAGGTCAGGCGTTCTGAGATGATGCTACGGGGTTTCCCTCTCCCCAAAATCCTTCTGGAGTCCTTGGGTTTCCTCTGTATCGTTCTGAAGATGCTTTGCTTTGCACTCATTCTGGTGGGCAAGTGACTGGCATTTTTCATCTGAGCATCGGAAAGAAAGGAGGGGGGATGGCTGCTAACCAGCCTCAAGACGGATTACACATAATTTGCCTCCAGATCCTATGGGCGCGAGAAAGCAATTCTTTCAGAGAGTGCATAAAAAGGCTGCGAGACCCCGCCCTCCACCCTTCTACAGAAACCAGAAGATGACATGGCTGTCTTTGAATAAATGTAGATGGTTGCACATGAAAAAAAAAGAAAAAAAGAAAAGAAAATAGCCCCTGAAAATAAGCCCTAATGAGTTATTCTGGAGCAAAAATTAATATAAGACCCTATCGTATTTCCGGCGAAACATGGTAGCGCCTTGAAGAGGCTCAAAGCTGCTCTTGGTTTTCCTATGAAGCGGACCGTCTTTTCTGAAGGCTGAAGTCTCCCGTGTCACCCAGCTGAATTTGGGGATAAGATGGGCCCGATCCACGACGGATCCTGTTATAGATTCACCATCATCCCTAGGCTACCTTTCTCCCAATAAGAGGAGGATTCAAGGCAGTCCACCATGTTAAAAGAAGTCAAATTAAAAACACAATCAAAGTGTGCATTGGCCATCTGAGGTTCTTACTGTTGTATTTCAAAAAAGAAAAAGCGCTTTTTATCTCCCCCCCCCTTCTTTTCATCCATCATGGAAGTGGCCTCTTTCCACGCACTTTCTCTGTTCACGATATACTCCTTGAGGAAGAAGAGGTCCCGGGGTGTGCCAAAATGGCCTTACCTGCAGTGCACAACGATGGGGCCAGCGTCGGGCGGGTTGCAGGTCTTCACTCTCCTGAGGAAGGCCAGGAAGGGGGTCGGGTATTCGGGGACGCCGTGATCTGGCCAGGCCGTGAACTGGAACTGGCGGACTTCGCGTTTCTCACTGGAACCGTTCTGACCGGAGGGAGGGAAGAGACCAAGTCACAGAAGGAGGCAGGAGCCTGAATGGGGCAGAAGTGGGGAGGGCCGAGGCGGGGGGGGGGCAATCCGCAAACTCCAGCACTCCAGGATAAATGCGGCGAGCGAGCCAAGACGTGTGGAAAAGCGAGAAAGACATCTGGGTTTCAACGGGGCTGGGTTCAGGGTCATTTAAAAACAAACAACCAATCAAACAAAAACAAATGGTGTACCATCAATCCACAGAAATGGGTCCCTCTCCCAATTAGAAACGGAGGAATTTTAAGGCTCCCCAAACATGGTATGGACGGGCAATCAAGAGCCATTAACTCGAAAAAAGACCAGTTCCCGGTAGAGATGAAAAAGTTGGCCTGTTTGACCTTTCCCTGGGTACGTGACCACGGGAATGGCACTAGAATTCGTTTCCAAGACGAACAGGTCTTTTGTCAGGTTAGCGGCTCTTGAAGAGCAAAATCCCCCTTCTCCATTTCTGTCTTCTTTCTTGTTTGGGTAAAATGGAGCTGGAAAGAGACTGGACTCATATAGCTATCATCATTTACAGATAATTCAGCACATCATCCACCCACTGGGCTCCTCTTACCTTGTGGAGGGAGAAAGTCCGGACACAGAACGTGGCCAGTTCGATGGTATCCAGCAAGGTGACTTGGATCATCCCGTAGGTCTCTGTGCCCCGGCCGGGCCAGTACTGGTCACACTTTATCTGAAAGACGAGCCCTTTAACAATGAGGTTTGAGCCACTGACAGACTGTCCAAGTGGGAGAAACGAGATGGCAAACCCCCTGGGGAAATAAACCAATTCACTTCTGGATACTGCAAGTCACCAAAAGAACAAATGAATGATCAGATCAAGCTCAGATTCTCACCAGAAGCAAAGAATATTAATCAGAGGTGGCTGTTCTTTGGGTGTATCATGAGAGTCACTGGAAAAGACAACAAAACTGGGAACTGTGGACGACAGCAGGAAAAGAGGAGGACCAAATGTCAGCTGGGCTAGCTCCCTAATGGAAACCACAACGTTGAGACTACAGAGCCAGATGGCTAATGAGAGGGCTTTTTTGGAAGTCACCCATTCACAGGGTCACCATAAAGTCGGAAGCGACTTTGCCAAACAATAACAAACACCCGCCTAGCATCCCAAAATCAGAACACACTGGACAGGTGAAGACTTAAAATCCCTTCCTGAAATGAGCATGCTAAGGACCCAGTGCTGAAAGATATGAAAATGTGGGGCTTCTGAAGGGCTGAATTATGTAGCCAGTTTCAATTCTGGAAAAAAAAAAGGGTTTCTCCGCTAGTCTGTCCTCTTCAATAGCACTGGTCCTATTTTCTAAAGCCTCTTTTCCTAAAGGCCACCAGGACCACAACTTTTGGGGAAAACAGTAAGAACTAAAAAAAAAATCTTATAAAATATGAATCTAGCAATCCACATTCAAGATTTCTGCCGAAGAGCTCAGGGTGGAGGTCTCTCTGCCTGCAGAGCCAGAGGTTGGGAGTTTGAATCCCCCATGGTGTCCACCCAACGGGGACTGGACTGGATGACCCTTTAGGGTCCCTTCCAGTTCTGCAGTTCTAAGGTTGCTATTGTTATTATTATTATAAAACAAGGCACAGTCAATAAATTTATTATTATTATTATTATTATCATCATCATCATCATCACACCACCACCACCACCACCACCTGCCCCATGCTCTCTGGGAACAGACAGAACACCCAGCACCAGTTTCCCGCAGAAAGATTTGGCTACTTAAAGAGCAGCTTCACACCATTCTGGGTTTGTTCGATTGTCTAAATTAGATCCCATTTTCTATCTTCAGAAACATTCACAGAAATGTTCACAGCTCAAACCCTTTTCTAGCTGTTTCAAAGCTGGGGAAAACTGCCGTCACGGGAGCATCCTTGCAGGAGGCGAGGAGAAAAAAAGGAAAATAACATTTATTGAACCCATTGAAATCCACAAGCACCAGCAGAATTTCAACAAAAAAGAGGAAAGTTTGAAAGTCAACAAAACTTGGCTCCCACCTCTGAAAAATACATAGTGGAAAAGGTCAACGAACTCTACCCAGCCACAAGGAACTGGGGATCATTACACACAAAAGACCAGCTAATGACACCCATCAATCATAGTGACAGATAATCCCTCCTCATTATCACAACAATACACCCACAACAAGACAACACTAATCACCCATCTCCTGAAAAGGACAAAAGCCTATCTCACAGCCATGAATACTTCACTCCCAAGCAAACCACACCAGAGCACAGAGTGCTGTCCTCTGAAGATGCCGGCCACAGAGACTGGTGAAACGTTAGGAAAAACAACCTTTAGAACACGGCCAAAGAGCCCGAAAAACCCACAACCACCAAATAACATTTATCTTTGTGGGTCCTGACTGAGATTTTCTGCACCGCGTGAGAGACATCCGATCCAGCCAGTGCAGCCGACGATCAGGGATGATGGGTTCTGTAGTCTGGCATATCCACCCTGGTGCCAGCCTTGGAAAAGCAGGCCTCCACCCACCTCACCCAAATTTGTGCTTCACAGACGATGCCTGTGAAGTTCCAACCCCAATATCTATAGCACATATAAACCCTGAGACAGGCACATCAGTATTTCTCTATTTATATTCGATTAGTGGCTTGCCTTAAAAAAAAAGACCCAAAGCCACTTGCATTCCAAACAAGTTTAAATATAATTCCCCGGCGCTTGTTTTTCAGCTGACCGAACTGTTTCTACGCAGCCCAACGTCCATCGTCCTTTTCCAGCATGCGGGCGCCTCCTCCCGCCAGTCCCTTCCTTTCTTTTCCTTAACTGCTCACCCGGGACTTCTCCTCCAGCTTGGTCATCATCACCACGGTGGCCGAGCGCTGCTCCCACACCATGCGCCAAAAGTCCCCAAACGTCTCCGGCAGAGGCCCTTGGGTGGCGATGTAGGCGTTCTGCTTCCGGTAGCCATCGATGTAGTTGGCGTTGATGTAGTCACTCCCGACAATCCCTGGACAGGGGAAGACAAGTAAATTAGGTATACGCCCCTCTGTTGCACAAATAAATAACATTAAACAATACTTTAGTTCAAATCCCTTTAACGCTGGCGACGCAGTTTTTTCTCACCTTCCGGAAGCCAAGGTCTGTTGCATTTTCGGCTGTAGCGTTGCCATTAAGATATCTGCAGGCGGCAAATTAATACAAAATCGGACCTGTCCTCTATCTAAGCCAACAGCGTCTGCTATGGCTGGCAGCCGCTCTCCAGCAGAGAAGGAGCCTTTGGCACTCTCTGCTCCATTATCCTTTCTAACTTGAGGGACCAGCAGCTGAAAGTACGGGAGTCAGTCTACTGCTGCTCCCAGTCAAAGTGGTGACCTTCTCTCCTGGGATTTTCCCATTTGGCTGGAACTATCTCTCAAATTGAGAATGAGGGCTTTCACCCTGTCCTACCGGAAAACCCAAAGACTTCAAACCTAGAGCCTATGTCCGCAAAAGAGGGGATCTATGGCCCTTTCCAAGCACGCCTGCCTCCCCCAAATGACTACAAATCTTGGATGCATCAATTCACTGTGCGCACTTTTGGCCTCTCTCGGGGTGATCAAAACCAGTGCCAGGAATGAGGGGGCAAAGATTTTTTATAAGTCAACAATTCTCCCCCGCACCCCATCTTCTTTCCTGGATCATCATCACCAAAGTCAGACCATGTTTAGACCCAGAAACCAGCTCAGGAAATACAATAAATTCATGCAGAGAGATCTTGTACAGAGTTGAGGCCTGGATCTGTCTGGGGGAGGTATTTTTCTACATCGGTCAGCAACGGCAATCCATGGGGTTTCAGGCAAAAGAGTTACTCCGCTCTATCCCAGGTAACGTGACATGGCCACGGATCTTGGAAAGCCGGGGAAGAAACAGCCCCCTTAATCCTGTGCAGCCTTCGGTGAAAGACGGCATGGAGCATCCGAGAGGATTAAAGCATTCGTTTAATGCTGGAAGCTCCTTCAGGGTCACACCCAGGAAAACTCAGGGTGGAACATTTGTGGCATTGCGTTAAACCTTGCCATCGCCAAGACCCTCCAGCCAAGAAGTCCTGTTGTAACTGGTATCGAAGCAAGCCTGCCTAAGGGCGACCATTTTTCCTTGTACGCCAAGACACAAGGGTGATTTCTCTGATCCATAGACCTATGCAGTTGACGCTTGCAGGAGAACGGAACACAGGCCTACAGCTGCCTTCCATATTCACGTTTTTTTCCCCCAGGCTGGCGCCTTGCCGCCTGCAACCTCCTGAAACAAACCAAGCACAACGGGGGTGGGGGTGACCTGACACACTTTTAAATTACAGAAGCGCTTGGGGAGGGTGGCGGAGGGGAGAACACTCAGACGTACATCTATAATTGGGCCACATAATTAAAGGAAGTCACGCTTGCTAATTTCAAAGCCACTTAATTCCCTCCTCCACCCGCCCGTCCGCGCCCCGACGGGAATTCGCAGCGAGGTTTTCCCCTTCCCTTCTCCGCCCTCCACACCCACCTATTCTCACAAAGCTGACAGGTTTATAGCAGGAGGTAGATAAGGAGGGATCTAGATTCAAACGTGTAGCACAAATCCAGAGATCACAAATTCCAACCAAACAACCTCTACAAGGTGAAAACAGTACATAGACTCGTTGGTCTATTAACCACTTTAAATAACAAAATACCCCCCCCAAAAAGCTGTGATCTCTCTGTCTCTTTAGATCAGGCTGCAGGTTGTGTGCCCCTTCCAGATGTGGGACTACAACTTCCATGGTGCTTTGCTGTTGGCTAAGGTTCCTGGAAGCTACCATCTGACATCACCCAGGCTGATGTGGTTTCCCTGCCTTCATTTAATGACAATCGTTAAAAAGTCCTACAGAATATTTCCGAGCTTATAAGGGAACTGTGCAAGCAGCCACAGACGCAACTGAGGCACTGAGTGTGTGCTCGGTAGCAACCAACAGAGCAGCCTTCCCCCAAAGTTACAAAAATCTAACCATTCTTTCCAACCTGGTTCAAAAAAAAAGTCACCCTTGGAGGAGACTCGCTTCGGTACCAATTACAACAAACTTGGCACTTCATGGCCTTTCCACCTCTCGCCAGATGGGATCACGTACCTTCAATTGGCAGCAAAATGACCCGGGAGTGGTCGTAGGCGATGACATTGGCGTATCGGTTTTTGGGCTTGTTCACCTCGAGGTTGGAGTGCTCCCAAGTGAATTGCTGACCTGGGTCGATGGACTGCCAGAGAGAGAGAGAGAGAGAGACAGAAAAGCAAACAGTTCAAGATGTACACGTACAACTGTCTATAACTCCATAAAAGATACAATCAATGTACAAGTATAGAATTCCTCAATCCCTTTTTTGCTTTCTGTTCTAATTTGGGAGCAAATGTGTAACAACCACCACATCTGGAGGGCATTAAAATCCTACAATTAAAATCCTACAATTGAGAGGTTCCGCGGAGGTCATCTAGCCTATCCCCTCACCTAATGCCACATTTGACCCAAGGAGCAATCAGCCTTCCTTCCTTTGCTTTCTTTCTTTCTTCCATCATCATCTCCTCCCTTCCATTCATCAATCATCAGCTCCTTTCTTCTTTCCATCAACTCATTCCTTCCTTCCTTCCATCAACTCCTTCCTTCTTTCTGTTTGAGAAAGTGGTGGATTTTCCTGAAGCAGAGGCTGCTCGTTCATGAGGGCTAGCAACTTGTTTTCCTGCCCCTGATCAGGCCTGATGATCTCTAAGTGTCTGACCCACTCAAAGCCCGCAAGCCGATGTCTTGTAACTTCCAGGATTNNTTCAGCACCGGGGGGGGGGGCGCAAAAGTGGGAAGAACCTCGATAATGACCAGATCTGTTGAAAAATGGCCAAGTAGCACACACACGTGTTTGAACCTTATGAGTGTTGGGCTGCTGGGGCCCAATCCTGGCTCCTCCTTAAGAGACTCCATTGTGGATCCTTCCACAGCTCTTAAGATGTTTGAAAAAAGGAGCCCATTCTGCCCTCTCAGGGCTTGTGCTTCAGATTAGGCTGTTTTGGGGTATCTTCCCTCTCTTCCTTCCTAAATCTGCTGCGTAGGAATAGGGATGCCCCAGAAGCAGGCCCCAAACGCTGCTGGGTATTGCATTGTGCAGATTCACCGCTGAAGGGTGTGGGGCGAGAGCATGCGGGTGTCTCTTGGCCGGCGGGGGGGGGGCATGGTGGCAGCAGAGGGCACAAAACTGGCAAAGACTCCATTTTCTCTTCACCCGCCTGGTCCCCCCCCACAAAACACCCCCCAAAAAGATGGGTTAGAAAGATCCCGACAGGGCTGGTAATTATATCTTGTTGGTGATTAGCAATTCACACTGTTGAAAAAGCCGTGCGGCGCCTGGCTGCCAAACAAGAGAGAGAGAAAATGGGGGAAAGAAACACGGAAAGGAGAATATTTGTGTGCCTTGTGGCTGTTTTTTTTTTTTTTAAGAAAAGAACTAGCAAATGGGAACTCAACCACTGACGTCCTTCCCTGCCAGCCTGTTTTCATCATTGCCTCCTTGCTGTTTCGGTTGCCCCATTAACCCCCAGTCCTCAGCTGGCTCCCTCCCCACTCAGCCCCCTTCTCTACCAGGGCAACAATCATCCATTCCTTCTCCATCCATACCGACTCTCCCCTTTCCAGCAACTCCCCACCCCCCTAAATCCTCGATATACCACAGCCAGCCTTTCCCTTCCTCAGTTGGAATATAGGTGAACGTCCCGTGGCATCTCCGTGCAAGCCGGGGGGGGGGGGAGAGACATCTGAAGTCCAGCTCCCCCTCCCTCCCTAGCTATCTCAAATCGTGCGTGGGGATCTACTGATCAGCTGCCGTTTCCTTTCTGGAACAAAGCGTGTGTGAAACGCACAAGACATACCGAACACGGCTTCCACGTTGGCCTTAGGAAGAACATTAAAATGGCGTCCTGTAAAAAAAATCCACGAGCACAACAGAACACACACACAGACACACACGTTAAGAGTTCTAGCCTCCAACATAGTTTACAGGCTTTTCCTTCTCCTTCTTACTCACAACAATCCTGAGAGGTAGGTGCATCCCAGCGATCACACAACGTACGGTAGATCATAAATCAGCCTAATCCTGATCTGAGCCCAAGCTGGGTCTCTCTAGTCCCCTGGCAGGACTTTCTGGGAGCAATTCCTCCACAGACAGAAGGGCCATTTTACAGGGGGATCACTCCCAGCAAACACAGATCCTTTCCAGTGTGATCAGATGTGATCCTTTTTCATCACTGGCCCGCACCCTTAATCTATCATACTCATTTCTTCCTTGTGCTGCAAGTTTTTCAGACAAACATGATGATCTCCTTCCGCTATCAAACGTTGCCCGCTATCAAACGTACAGCACATTCTTGAGACAGACCACAAGATTTTCTTCAGCTATTACAACATTTTACCCACTCTGTATTCTTATATCCGAGACACACCACATTATTTCCTTCATTTATCATATCTTTTCTCCCGTACTCTAGAAACAGACTGCGCCTCTTCTACCAACTTACCACATACTTCTCGCTCTTGATTCCCCATAATGTGCCCCTCCATCTCCCACATTTTTTTCTGTCCCCATACCTCGTATTCCTGAGACAACTTCAGATTGTCGTTGGCTTTAAGGTGTTCGGTGTGGTCTGCCAGTTCCGATATAGGAATCGGAGGGTGGTTGAGCATACCTGGGAGGGTAAAGAGAGAAGAAGCGTGGAGAGGGAAATAATCTCGTTCAATTAAAAACAGCCGGCAGCCGACAAGTACTTTACAATTCATTTTGTGCGTGTGTCAAGAACTGCAATGGAAGGAGGGTTAGAAAGGTGGAAAGAGAAATTGAGGGCTCGAAATTTTGACCGTAGAACTCTCAAAGGGGGGAAAAAATGGAAGAGTTCTCTCCACTGTGATGGCCCCGTTGTTGTCAACATGGATCAAAAATGTGGGTTCTATCTGGTGGGGAGGGGGGGTAGGAACGGAAAATTGGAAAGACGCACTAACAAAGGAAGGGGGAAAAGAACGAGGAGGATCTGACAGCAGACACCAGGTAGCGATTCTGGACAGTGAAGTTACCAAGTGAGAATGGCAGCTGAGAAAAAGAAAAGAAAACAAAAACTCAGAAGCAACATAGGTGGCAAGGAGGAAATACTGATGACAGCGGGTGAGATGCATTGGGGAGGGGGGAATCACCAGAAACATCCCAAAAGAGGAAAAGGGGGGTAGGTAAAAAACAGGGCACACATACCACAGACACACAAGAGAAGGAGGTATATACAGCTAAGAGAGACCATGGAAGGGTGAATGTGATGTGTTGGGGTGGGAGTGGATGTGCGAGAAACTGCGGTGGCTTGTCAAAAGTTACCACGGAGTCAGCCATGAGGAAGGGGAGAGGGCCATGGCCCTCTCGTGACCTAGGTTGAACCCGCTATTCGCAAGAGAATGATGGGAACAGTGTATGTGGGGTGTCATCGGGTTTTCTTCCCCCCCGAAAGGGTGCTCAGCACCACTGGAATCTTCCTTAGAGGCACCCCTTCCCTGCAGCTGTTTCTGAATAATTTTGTTCACCCCGCCACCTTTCCTAAATTCATGAGCAGCGTTGGCTTCGGGAAAAAAACCCCTTTCCCTCCACTAACATCAGGAGTCCTGCTATCCCTGAAAACGGTTAGGGAACACCTTGTGGGAAACGGTTATTAGTGATGTTATTGCACGGGGGGGGGGACCTCCATCACCAGACAGATAAAGCAGAAGGAAAGAAGAGGGATGGAGAAAGCGGACAGGTTTGTTCCAGCATGTGCGCCCCCTTCTCAATAACCACAGATATATCTGTGAAGGGACAGGTTTGTTCCAGCATGTGCGCCCCCTCCTCAATAACCACAATCTGTGAAGGTTTTCAGTCATCAAGGTGAGGTCATCCAGAAGTTGAGTCATGGCAACTGGACTTCTTTCTTATTAGGTTGAAACGTCTCGCTACTCATCCATCAGACTGAAGAAGCTACTTGGATGAGCAGCGAAACCTTCAACCTAAAAAGAAGTCCAGATCCTGTGACTCGGCTCCCAGATAACCATGGACATAATTCTGCTATGGCTCTCCTGTTCTAAAAAGCCCGCTCTCTTATCACCAGGAGGAATTCTGATTCCTTTCAACTGATTTGAAAACGGCAGACGTCCGAGTTCAATCAGCGCAGCTTTCCTCCACTTTGTGCTCGGTTGTCTAAGATTGCTGGGCTGCGTTGTCACGGGTGAAAGGACTGGCTCGCCCTGGCCAACTCTCGCCACCCAAGAGCTTCCTTTTGAAAAATCTTCCCAATTTCTCTTGCTTTTAAAAAACATCATTATTTCTGGAACTGTCTTGAGCGCCCCTGAACTCTCCCTCCCTTTATCCAGTGGGGCTTTGTGCGGTGTGGCACAGGTGCCTTTGCGCACGGAAAGGGGGAACACTGAATGTCCACCCCGGCCCATTGAAATGTCAATATTCTTAAGGAGGACGTCTTGTGGGTCTGTACACGAGACCGGTGTCTCGGATTGCAAAGACAGAATTAAGGGAGGCTACAAATAGCAAACACAGGGATTGGGAAAAATAAAATCAGCCCCCGCCCATGGTTCAAATTTGTGGCGCACACGTGTCGAAAGGGAATTGGGATCGCCGGGCAAAACAAGAAAATGTCCTCGCTACAGAATCCAATGGATTGATTGCTGCCCTGTTTACCGATGGCTTATCTAAAGAAATAAGCTACTGCCTGCATTGTACGGTTAACCAGTTACAGCCAAATTCAATTAAAGAACTGTTCTGTTAATCAGTCACGGCCGAGTTGCGCACTTGTTTACTCTGCCCTGTGACCCCCTGACGCTGGTGGGGCTTCATCTAAGGTAAAAGAGCACAGGATCATTGGAAATAGGGTGTGTGTGCTCTCCACCCCTGGCATAGTCTGTCCCCAGTGGAGGGGACACAGATTGGCGCCCAACACACACTGCGCCTTTCTGGAGACCCTCCAGTCCCTTCCTTGCACGTACAATTTCTTTCTGAGGAACCCTAGGGGAGGAACACCTTTATCAAACCCTCAGCACACACCCCTTCCACTGTCCGTCGGAGTTCCTTTTATAAACATACAGCTGGAATGAGACACATTTCTGGTGATATGTACTTTTCTCAGTAGCCCTGCCTGACCAGAGCCAGATAGAAAATACATTGGGGAACTTTGGAGAAGCGAGTCGGGAGCCCTGGGAAGTGAGTCGGGAGCCACAGAAAGTCACTTTCACCCGAGCCAGCCTTCTGAGAAGCCACCACAGTGTCTTAGGAAGGGGGAAAGGTGTGGGTGGGTGGGAGATGATGGGGAACCATGGAGAATTTCGAGCCCTATTGGGAATTGCGTGATTAAAAAGCGGTGGTAAAGCAGCGGCAGTGGCAGCAAAATAACCTGGCGACTCAGAACAGAGATGGCAAAAGCTAGTGCTGCAGGTACCAGTTTTACAGTGTGCTTTTTTTTGCACCCAAAATTAAAAATAAGAGAAAGGGAGAACTTCGGGGACTCAAAGCTTCGGGGGACAAGCCACAGCCACCCGAAACAATCCAACAGAAGATAGCTGGCCATTAACACCAGAGAGCTTTAAAGTCATCGGAGTTATGTGAATTTTCTCTGCTTCAGACAATTTCCAACCAGATGCAGGCCTTTCAAATTTTTTTTGAAGGTGCCTCAAGAAAGAATTACCCTAGATTCAGAAATCTCCACCTTTTTCTCTGCTTTTTCATTTCTTTCCCATTATTTCTTGCATGTAACTCAAAACTTGCCTACTCAGAATTAAGTCATGTGGCGGGACGCGCTCCCGCATCAGGAGAGACGGATCGTAGCCTCAGCCAACAGAAACCAACACAAGTGGATTCAAGAGGCAGGTTGACCCTGGTGAATTTAACACAGCTGACTCCCAGGGAGACCACGGCAGGGATTTCAGGGGAGGCGTGCGACGAAATCACCCTTACGGGAGCAAAAAAAGGAAGACAGGTAGAGCTTTACAGGAGACCTGGCAGATGTCAGGAAATTCCAAAATAAAACACAGCCAAGGACAGCTCGCATGACCCAAAAAAGCAGAGAAGGCTGCTTATGGGCCATGGGGGTTCCCACTGTGTTTCAGGATGAGTCCCTGTCCTAAGGTTAACCCCTCCGGATCAGCCTCCTTATTGACACATAATCCCATCCCACTTTCCGCCAGGACAGCCGGTCCAAAGGCAGAGATGCAAAAGAATTACATCAGTCCCCTTCGAGGGGAGGCTCAACCATGCATCTTAGCGTCGGAAACTCTCTCCCACTTTTAGGGTGGGATTTCTTTCCTCAAGGTGTTAGGTAAGGAAACGGAGACATATACTCCGAATCTCTGGCTCTGCAGCCAGATGCCTTAAACCTCGGAGTATCCACCCCAGGTACTCCCTGCGTTTCCTTTTAATAACCTCTTCTGACCATTCCCCAGGGCCGATGAAGGCAAGAATTTGAAATCGCCTGTCCCGGTTTTCTAAATAAAGGACTGGTTTAAATAAGAACATTAGGAGCAGCCTTATAATGACTCAAGCAAATGGAGCATTGGGAGGAGTATTGTCTGCACTGAGTGGAGGAAACCTTACTGCTGAGCTACAATCACTGGGTCCACTTTTCTGGCCACAGATGGACCCGACTAGTCTGGGCTGCAGGACTTTAGGAGCGCCTCCAATCTCTAGAGGCAAACATTTAACGCAGACCTAATATTCGAAGGTCTTGGAAACAACGTGTTCGATTTAATGTATTCCCATTCAAAATGTCCACGTTTGCATTCAAGCGGGATATTAAGCCATTTTCATTAGAAAAACTGACGTGAAAGCCCTGACGTGTTGCTTTTGACAATATTCTCAAGTCCACCAGCCGGCCGTTTTAAAGCAAAAAAGAATGGCTTCTGGGGTTAATGTGTCCTCTCCGGGCGATGCGCCCTGCCCTGGGGTGTGGATCTTCTGCGCAGCAGGCGAACGCCGCCACACAGCCAGATGATGCCTGAAATCCTCTGCTCGGGGGCGAGAGCGATGCTTAATCCGAGCCAGAGGATCCTGGCAATTCTTGCCGCCAAGATTTGTGAGAGATTGTGGCCAGTCCGTTTGCAATTCACTATCTGCTCCCCACACGAACCTTCTGTCGTTTTGTTCCAGAGAGAGATGTGGGCCAGTACTCTCGAACTATCTCCCTGCGTCCTTACCTCCAGAAATCAAAAGCCCCTTCCTGAGCACGCCAGCCGTTTACCAAGGCGGCGTCTGTGCGGTTTGGAAGTGAGAGATCTTAGCGGGAGCAGCTCTCATCTAGCATTTCAAATCTCTGGAAATCTCCTTAATCTCCTTATCGCAACTTCCTCTAGCTCTCCTCCTCTCTCCCCTATCCTTGCTGCTATGTGCCGGATCGTTCCAGCCAAAGCATCCACGCATCTGTTGCAGGAGCCACAAATTCCCCACGGCCAAGGAAAGGTGGCATCTTGGACCAGGGGAGACGCCGGGGATCCTGCCTCCCTCCCTCTCCTTTTCCAGGGGCTGGACTTGATGAAACCAAGATGCAGAATACAAGACGGGTTCGGATCTTCGCCTGGATCTTCCCGCCAATTCCCCCCCTTTCTCTCCGAACTCTCCCCCACCCAAGCATCTGCCGAGCGCTCAATCCATCGTGAGATGAAAAACCCAATTCTTCACTCCATCCTCTGCCTAAACTCTTGAATGCAAACATTGCCTCTGGAATCAGTTTGCTGAACATCCCTCAACATCGACTCAAGAAACAACCAAAGCCATCACAATTCCACTTCTTTCTTCCTCGCCCCTTATTCATGGTGTACCCACTTCTCAGAAACGGGTCTGTCTGCCACTGCTTCCATCTACCTGTGCACCAAAAAGCCACACACGCAGAAAATTTACAGGCACCTTACAGAGAGAGATGCGTTGACACCTCTGTGCTGCTTTTCTGTAACACTGACCTCGTTATGAGGCTGAAATTGGGAGTTCTCTCTCCTTCCTGGGTGTTGGCTGGAAGTTCTTGGCGCCTGCGTGATTTGGTGCATTCAGTAAGGAAGCAGTAGTTGAAAAGGGGGTCAGAGTCTTCCTGATTTCTAGCTTTTTGGAGGAGGACTGTTCTGGCTTTACCTCCAGAAACTGGGGCCTGAAGCTCGGGCTTTCTGGATGCAAAATGGTCATGGAGTCAGGGTTGCTCTATCAAGATTGGGGAGATCTGTTGGAAAAATCATCTGTCTTAAAGAACCCCAAAAGTTCCACTCTGGAATGATCCAGCATCCATTATATGGCAATGAAGTTTTGGTCTGAAGCCTACTGTGCATTCACACTGACGTTAGGTGCAATGGTGGTGTTTACCAGTCGCTGCTCGCATTCCCAGCCATGTGCCAAGGTGTGCCACAGGCACGTGACTGTGAATGCGAATGGCAGTTTCTCGAAGAGCAGCAATCCACACACACACACTGGTGTAAATCTACAAGAGCAACACGGGTGTTATTCTTAATTTCTACACACAAACATAGGTGTGAAACGTAATAATGGATACAGCAAAGACCGACACACCAAGACTGAAGGCAAAATTTAGCTTGGAGGTTGTTGATAGTTTTTTTTAAACCCCCCTGGGGGGGAGAGTTTTCCTTGTTTTATTTTTTGCAAAGGGCCTGTGCGGTGGAGGACTGTAAAACTGGACGCACTGAAGGGAAAACGAACAAACAGAACAAGACGAGGGACAAAATGGCCAAACAAAGCCGCAGAGAGGCAAAGATGGAGGGTTGGGAAATGAGCGTGAGGGGAGAGGAAAAGCATGGCCCCCGTGGGAAATAAAAAAAAATGTCCAGGAGAGTTGGCGGTGAGGGGGCGGGAGGCGTACGACCAACGAAAAACGGACACGGGAACGAAAACACAGAGGAACTAACTTTCAAGGTCAAACTCAGGGTCACTGACAGGACTGCTGAGGCCAGAATCTGTAGAAAAACAGGAAAACAAAAGAAAAACAAAAAAACAACACAAAAACAACACAAAAATATACACTTTTATAAAAAAAAAAAGCTACTCAACCAAGAAAGAGTTTGGGGGGGGGGAAGGAACAGAAAAAAGGAACACAAAATTTAAGAGGAACTGAAAGGGTTGTTTTTCTGGGTTTTTTTCTGGACAGGAGATAGTCTTTCTCTCTCTCTTTGGTCGAAATTGGAAGTTCTGGATGGGAAAGGGATGGGGGAAAAGGCAGGATTAAAGGGAAGAAAAAACTATTCCCCCCCTCCCCCATTTTAAACCCTTGACTTTCAAAACACAAGCAGTAGCTTTGGTTTTTCAGAACTGACATGATTTGGTACATATTTCTATGTTGATTCAAAGTTAGGTTATATAGAGAAAACGAATTTAGAAAATGTCTTCCTAAATAGCCATAATATTGTGGCTTTTCCTTTTTTGCGTTACAAGAACTATACCGTTTCTACTCCGTGTATTCTTTTTTTAAAAAGTGGAATTTGCTTTTGCTTTCTCTGTGGCCTTCGCCATATTCGAACATCCTGCTTGAATAAATTAATATTACACACAGGTATAATGAGATGCTTCTCCTCTGTCACACACACATACACATACATGTGCACACTTAAAAACAACAATAGAAAAAGGAATTTTCCTTTCCTCGAAAGGTATTAAAGAAATCCACCGGTTTAGTCTCCTCCTGGCCACCTAGGAAAGGCTTCCGCTCCTTTTGATGTCAAATACAGATTTAAAAGATCAACCAGAACGGAAAAGGGTGTTGGAAATGTGGATTTCACCGAGAATGGTGTGGATCCTGGCAAATCCATTTCTCCCCTGGAATAACCAGTCAGAACCACCTGGGGCGAAACTTTTACGTTGTCTGGGATAACTTTTATTCTGCTTAATTTATTCTGCATTTCCGGCTGTTTAGCATTATTTATTCAGATATTACAAGACAGGAAGCAACAGAGGTGGTTTTAAGACTCCCAAGTCCCTCTGCTTTGACCTCTCCAGCTTTAGCCAAGAGGCCCCTTCCAACACCATTCTTTTAGGATTCTATGCTTCTTCTCTCGAGATTTTGTGCCCAAGCCTTGCTTAAATACCTTTCCTTGTGGCCACGAGGACTAGTCCCTTAACTTCCAAGAGCCATGTAAACGTAAAACAGCCACTCTGAGCACAAGGACCCCTTCTGAATGGACTGAAAATTAACAATTCCTTAGTATGGTTATGCCGCCATCCCCACAGCCCTCCAGGAAACACTCCCCCCTGAGCTTCGGAGAAGGAAGCAGATGGATCCGCGTACAAGCAACAGCCTGTATTCAGGGCGGAAATTTCATTTAAATAAGGAAAAGCACGGACAGAAAAATAGGTCAAGAAAAAGGTTAGATGGCACAGGGGGTGCTGCATTTCCTCCCTGCTGTGTAGGATAGGCAGAGTGGCAACGGGGTAAACACCCCTGCAGGGCAGGCTTCTTCGCAAAGAAAACAGACGCATGTCTTCCAGCCAGGAGCTCAGCACCACGTCGAGACACGCAGGATCAGTGGCATTAGAAGGGAACGGCTAACGGTCAAGTGGATGGAATGATGGCAAAATCTTCTCCAGCGCTCAGGGTGGCGGCACCAAGGAAGGGCACCAGAACTCTGCCCATGCACGCCATGTGCGCCCGAGGGACATCGGACCTTCCTCCTCCAAGCTGCTCAGTGAAGTTGGGAGGGGGGCCATCCACGGTGGCCAACAGGGTGGGGGAAGAAGAGGCCTGTGGCCCCGTTACCTGGGGTCTGGAAATTGATCCGCCGCATCTCCACCGGGTCCTTGGGGTGGTGAGGGGCGATTTCCGCGTTATTCAGCATGCACTTGATCCGAGGTTCGGAGTCTTTCCGTTTGCTGGCGGGAGGAAGAGAGAAAATGCCCGTGGGGGACCAAAGCGAGACGTGCACCCCCCCCCAGGGGTGGGTTGGGTGGGTGGGGCAACTCTAGCTCAGTAGGCTCAGCCCCGTGAAACGGCTCAAATCATCCATTTTAAGCCCCGCTCGACAAGCGAATCCGGGGGTTGCAAAACTGGGGGTGGACATGAGTCAATTTGCAGAATTTGGGTAGCAGGTCAAAAGCCGCCTGGGAGAGTCCTTCCCTACCCCAGGCCTCCAATCACTACAGGGCTGAAAAACGAAAAAAGGGAGCACTCTTCCACTACACGAATGTGCGATGGCCAAATATTGGAAAAGGCTTCCCAGCTGGAGGCCTGGCCTTTTAAGCCGGGCTTTTAATAATGAAAATGAGCAAGACTACGTCTTTCTGGGATGCCGTACTGGCAACTCGTATGAAGTGCATTTTTAAAGCTTTTGAACATTTAAGACAGTGGGTCCTGAAGGTCCTTGGACTACAGTCCCAGAAGCCTTTGCTGCCCGCTGCGCTGGCCAGGATTTCTGGGAGTTGCAGTCCAAGAACATCTGGGCTGGGAACGAATGGTTTAAGATGATCATTTCCAAATCCTGTTCCAGGTTGAACTGCTTGTGAACACAGTCATTACGGAGACTTTCCACCTGCTCGGCCGTCATTCTTTGCAGGCGGCCTTTGCCAGGGGGAAAAGCGGTGGAGAAATAAAAGAAAAAGATGGGCTTTCGGTTCCTTGGGGCCTTTCCCAGGCCTGCCTGGGCCACACAAAAGTCCCCGGCCCCTTTTAGAAGCTCTTACCTGTCCGGTTTGCTGTTCAAGGAAGCGATGGGGAAAGAAGAAAAGAGAAAGAACAGAGAAATGTAAGTGTTGGAAACAGCAAAAACAAAACACCATGATCTTATTTTTTTAATCAAACTTCCGCACCAACTAACTTTCTCATTTCTGATTTGCCAACGGATGTGTCCCTGTGTGTGTTTTGGGGGAACAGGGGAGTCTTTGCTTTGCGCGCCCGATGCAGCAAGATCCACCTGTGGGATTTCTGCCTGAAGGCTAGAAGAAAGCTCCCTTTGACATCACAGAGATGGGTTGAGAGGCAGAGAAAGACAAAGGATCCACCTGCTGGACTACAATTCCCACAAAGCTTGCGCTGGGGCTGTTCGGAGCTACAGACGGAGCATCTGGAGGCCCACGGGTGGCCCATGTTTGGCGGGGATTCGGTGGCAGAGAGAGGCTGATGTAGGAGAAGAGGCTAAGCTCGCTATTCTACCCGAGGGTGCCTCACTCAAGGCGTGCCCGGGGGATTAAAAATACATTGCCCGGACGAAACGGGTGCATTCAAGACTTTTCAAAGAGGATCTTGAAGACCACCATTCCCAAAGTCTTGTTTCCGGGCTTGGATGGCAGCACCTCAGACCCCTTTCAGAGGAAGTGGGGGGGGGAGAAATCTAATCCCCAAAACCCAAGCCCATTGGCATTGAAGGGGGAAACACACACAGCCAGAAAGGAGCGGATGCGAAGATGCGTTTGCTTACTTCTTGTAAAGAAGGATGGCAATGACGATGCAGATGATGAAGACCACGGCCAGGACGGGCCCAATCACCCAGATCAGGCCTTCCTCTCCTTCGATTTTTGGCTGGGGGTCGGAGTTGTCCAACTGGATCGGATCGGAGAACGGGCTGGCAGCGTAGGCCTGGAAGAACCAAGCAGAGACTTCTCTAGGGTGGCGATTCTCAGTCAAACAACAGCCAAGGTTTCGAGAGGCGGCACTTTTGGGGGTAACGTTTTTGGTGTTATGGTACTTTTTTTTAGTTGGCAAATGAGAATGAAAAAATGAACAGCCAGAATCTTGTTTGGTATGTAACTGACAATGAATACAAGGGTGTAAGGACTGATCAGTTAATGAGCCGTTGCTCGCATTTCCTGTCAGGTGCTGAGACACGGGACTAGCACACCACTGGGAATACAAGCAGCAACACTTCCAATTAGGAGTAATTCCCTTCAGCATCATTCACGCGGATCCTGCGGTTCCCCCCTTTTTCACTCTACTCCCACTGAATGAGCCATGCCCCCAGTGCAAAAATCAATCAATTGATCAATCTAAAAATATATATATTTTTCTTCTTGGGACAGTGTGGCAGGAGGAAAAACGGGAACGACTTCTCTATCATCTCTCCTGGTTGAAAACAGGCCCTTCCTCTCCTGAGGAGTTCTGCTTTAGTTTTATCAAAAGAGAGCAGATTTTTTTAAAAGCTGAGAAACTCCAAGCGATGCTTGCGGAAATATCTCTGAGCCAGAAGCCTTTGCCACTCGCTGTGTAGGTCAGGATTTCTGGGAGTTGTAGTCCAAGAACATCTGGGGACCCAGAATTGGGAGCTAATGGTCCATGCTGACATTATGAGCCGGACACTGTAGGGTGTGTGTGGACAGTACTCACGGCTTCGCTGCCTCGCAAGACCGCCAGGACGAAAAAGACATATTTCTGCCCAGCCTCCAGGGCCCTGTTCTCAAAACCATCGTAGCGCTTCATGTCCCCCAGCGCAAACAAGGACGGGAGGATGCTGAAGCGTGCAGCAATGTATGGCTTTTGGGGATCCAGCTGGCGGGAATGTCGGAGGCTCCGGCGCTGAAGTCTGGAGATCTCTTGAATCAACTGAAGAAAAGAAGAGAAAGGGAAAAGAGGGAAATAATCAGCCGGAAAATGGAGGACTCACATGGGCAAC